GATCCTGTTTTATAAGTCTCTTTTGAGTGCTGATTTGACCTGAAATCGTACATTAATTTGTTTCCGCCCTCAGGAGTTTTTCGAGTTTTAACCAGTATTTAACAAGTCTTATTAGTTTTAACTTAAAGAGCTTTCATCTCGTAAATTAAGCTTTTACTTCAAGTAAATCTTTGCATAATTTAAGGTTAGGTACTTTTCTAAAATTTGCTTCATCATAAAATGGTATCCCGGACCTTTCTTCCCATTTCTGAATATTATCTCAGTCCTGTACCCTTTCTCAAAAGTTAGTTTAACAGTTATCATAAAATTGTACGTGTTCTATTATGAACCACTGCTTTCTTCTTTATGAGAATAACTTATCTCTCTGATATCTACTAGTAGGCTAACGAGACACGATTTTATTCACCTTTTGTGAAAATGCGTCAACGGCCCTGCTGGAAATGCTGGACCGAAAAGAGGATATCCTGGAATCACAACGGATCGGTAGGGAGTCGTTGACAAGACTAATTAACTTCACAATAAGGACAATCTATTTTACATTGAACGGGAGCATCTATGAATAAATATTTGGACTTCCCATGGGACCACCGTTTTCACCACTTTTGGCAAACGTATATATGAACAAAATAGAAGATGGCAACGCTAAAAGCGGCAGTGCTTATGCTGTACCTGGATGATTATTTCGCAGTTTGGTCACATGGAAGAAAAAAACTGGAAGAGTTTCTGAAGTTTATAAACTTGTTAAATACTGGTTAAAACTCGAAAAACTCCTTAGGGCGGAAACAAATTAATGTACGATTTCAGGTCAAATCAGCACTCAAAAGAGACTTATAAAACAGGATCATCTTTTATGAAGAGGATTATGATTGCGTGTGATATCTTAAAGCATAAATCTCACTATATAAGTGATCTGACTTCGTTTTCGCAACTTGTTCATGCTGCCAGTAAAACCGAGTTGGATGCACCATCTCCGAAGTCCTCTGCTAAAGTAGTGCTCATAATTTCCAGCCTTACACCGTGGATTTAGTACGTTCCCAGATCTTTCGCCGGCAACTTAGTCGGCGTCTTCAGTGAGTGTTGCCAAGCGGTTGTGCTATCACTCCTCCTCCTATCCTAGTGCATACAAATACTCCCTATGCTCGTGTCTCACTCCCCCCTATCAAAACGTCTAACTTACTAATATTATGACTAGTTTAGTGTGGCGTCATCATACATGCCATACACGATAAAAGTAGAGGAAAGTGAGCGGTTACCGCTTGTGGATGTTGAAGTGATTCGCTCTAACGGGACGCTCAAAAATAAATTATTCAGAAAGAAGTTCCATGCTGCGATAATACTCTATTTCCGGTCCCATCACAATTACAGGCTGAAGATAGGAATAACGATGAGCATGATCATCCGAAGCCTTCGTTTAACGGATGTGGAATTCTCGGACGAGGAGCTGGAAAAATTGACGAGGATATTCCTCGGCAATGGCTACCCAATTAAGGTGATAAAAAATAGACATACGCGCCGTGAAAGCCCATGGCAGAACGATGACTATGAAAGAACAGTAAGGACGATGAAGGATTCACAAAAGTGGATATGCCGACCTTCCTGCGAAATAACTAAAAACTACGGCCAATATTGAGGAAATAGAATATTCAGGTGGGCATGAAAGATAAACGAAAACTTTTAACAAGTCTACCGACGCAACATGAAAGGGTAGATAAATTTGATTGTTTGGAAGTTTACTGTACATAAATATATTGCGAAACAGGGAAAAAAATTAGCATACGAATCAAGAAAAAACAGAAACTCTCCATGAAAATGGATACCGAATGATCAGAATTAACGAAACACATTAATTGGAAGGCAACAGAAAGGAAGGCTCCATACGTAGAAAACACCAGGAAGTGGGAGATTATGGAGGCCAATGATATCCTTGGGGAGAAAAATCTAATGAACAGGAGATTGGAGGAAGATACAGTTAGCGATAACTTTGCCTACTCGGGGAAAACAAGAATGGAGCAAGACCAGCGAAAAGAAGACTCTTGGATCAAGGAGGATCTACCGCTAACCGGAAGAAAAGAGATCGCGATGAAGAAAGTGGGGGCAGGGGTTGTCGGCACTAAAGCGAAGACGTTGTCAGTGGGTGATGTCCGTTGCGAATAAACCAGCACAACTTTGAGGGCCTGGCAGTCAGGGAGCGGGGCAGACGGATAAACAATCATTCACGGAAATTCGGCGTTATGGCCAAAATGTACTGGAAATTCACTTAGGTTGTGTCATGCGACCAGAGATGGTCGTACACAGTTTGCTCAGTTAACATGGGTTTACTCAACGAGACGA